TGAATTAAATCCACATGAGAAACCCTAGCTCTGATACCAACTAGAAAGAAGAAGAAGAAGAAGAAGAAGAAGAACCGTTTATTGTATTACAGGTTCGAAGAGAATAAAGAGAGAGAGAGAGAGAGAGTGAGTTAAGAGAGGAGAAAAGAAAGAAGGGGTTCGGTGGCTAGTGATCTGCTGCCCCGTACACTTCTTTATTTATAGCTTTAGGTTCCTTACAAGAATAGGAAATAAACAAATATTAGAAACAATAAGGCCAGCCGGCCCAACTTAAAAGAAATTAGAAACTTCTAATAAAAGGAATTAGAAACTACTAACAAAAGAAATTAGAAACAACTAATAAAAGAAATTAGAAACAACTAGGTGTGGGTATGAAACCACACACACTAGAGCCTGAGTGTGGGTATGGAACCCCATATTCGTGGCTAACCAACTATTTCTTCAAGGAGAAGGTGGTGACTAGAGGCAAGAAGTCAGGAGATCTTGGGATAGGGAATATTAGGATAAGGAATATGGCATTGTTGGGAAAGTGGTTATGGATGTTCCCTCTAGAGAAGGAGAAGTTATGGGCTAGGCATAGTTGTAAAGGTGACGCCTAGGCGGGCGCCTAGGCGACAAGGCGCCCCTTGAGGCTCGCCTCGCCTAATCGCCAAGCAATTTTCTACTTCCTACTATAAAGTATTTTTTTATTCATTCTTTTTTGAGATTATGATTATAAAATAGACATTATTAAACTAAAATAATCATTTTGTGTGTTTATATACTAATTTCTTTTTATTATTTTCTTATTTATTAGGGTTTAATCAACACAAACATTGCTAAATGYTGTATTGAACCCTSAAAGACTTAAAAACCTGAACCAATATGTAAGGAAGAACTTAAAATTTTATCTAATCAGCACACTTTCCTCTTCCATATATTCTTCTTCTTCTTCTTCTTCTTCTTCTTCTTCTTCTTCTTCTTCTTCTACTACTACTACTACTACTACTATACTTTAATATGAAATTTATACTTTTCTTATGAAACTCATGAAGAATTATTAAAGAATATGGTTACGGTACCTAAGGAACTACCCTAGGATCTATGTTTTAACATAAAAAAAAAAAACTCCATCGCCTAGGCGACTAGGCGACAAGGCGCCCCCCAGTCGCCTAGCCTCACCTTGGAGCCTTGAAAACTATGGGGCTAGGATAGTGGCTAGCATTCATGGGCTCGAGGACAATGGTTGGGATCTTGGAATTCTGGCAACAAGCGCTTCGCTGTGGAAAGCCGTTCATGACCTGCTTCCAGTTTTCTCCCCTTTGATCAGGTAATGATTTAAATTCAGGCAACCTTATAAAGTTTTGGGAACAAAATTGGGTGGGGAATATCCCTTTAAAGGACCAATTCTCCTCTTTGTATGCCCTTTCTGATCTAAAAAATGAGCCCATTTCCTTCTTTATTGTCCCTTCTACCTCCAGTTCTAGGCTTGGGTGGAATTTAGGCTTGAGAAGGGCACTAAGGGATACAGATATGGGCAGCACCATGACCTTGTTGGGTGTCCTTGAAAATGTTTTCTTGGACCCTACAAAGGAGGATGCCAGAATTTGCATTCCTTCTTCTTCAGGCTATTTCTCTTGTGCCTCCTTTTTCCGAAGCTTAACTCATCTTTCTGGTTCCATTGACTCTTCCTTCCTTGTGAAAGAGGTCTGGTGTAAGCCAATTCCCCCAAGGGTTGGGAGTTTTTGTTGGGAAGCCTTCCTGGAAAGATTCAATACTGTTGATTTGCTTCAAAGGAAGAGGCCTGAGACTTGCTTATCCCCACACTAGTGCATTCTCTACAAAGCTGATGGGGAGACTAGTTATCACCTTTCAGTTGCTTGCCATTTTGCCAAAACAATTTGGGAGTGGGTATTCTCTCTTTTTGGGTGTAGGTGGAACCCCCCTATGACTGTGCAAACGTTATTTTCTTCCTCCTTTTTCAGGTGGCATTTGAAAAGAGGAAGGATCATGTGGAGGTGCCTAAGGGTTTCTGTTTGTTGGACATTGTGGAAAGAAAGGAATTCAAGGATTTCCTCAGATGGGGAGAGGAGTATTGAAACCGTAATAGAACTGATTCATTTAAGGGCAGCACAATGATTAAAGACTTCATATTTATTTACTGAATTTACTTTGGATGACTTGCTGAGAAAGTGGAAGGTCTAAGGAGATTATTAGAGCTGCTCAGATCAGAACCGGGACTAGTCTTTCTTGGACCCCTCCTCCTAATGGATTTATAAAATTCAACTTTGATGGCAGCAGTAGAGGGAACCCAGTACAATCTGGTATTGGGGGAGTTTTCAGGGATGAGAAAGGGGTTATTTCAGCTCTGTTTTCAGGCTCTATAGGGGTAGGTGACTCTCTCAGGGCTGAGATCTTTGCGGTTCTGGGAGGAATCCAAAGGGCAAAGGAGTTGAGTATAAGGAAACTTGTGGTTGAAGGTGACTCGAGGTGGTAGTAGGATGGCTAAAAGAGGATAAGGTGGGGTTGTGGAACTTTAGCAATGAAAAGAAAATTACAAATGGCTGCCAAAGGATATGGAAGTGAAGTAAAGTTGGGTAGAGTTGGGTGAAGAGACCTGCTAACTCTTTTTCTGATAGGTTAGATAAGCAAGGGCTGGCTTGGGATTCTTTATTTTGGGCTATGTTGTATTTCTTCTTTATTGCTTTTATGGGGGCTCTTGCCCAACCCAGGGAGTTAAGAAAGTTTATCTCCCCTTGTAATTATTTTTGTTTCATTTTAATGAAAAGTTGTTATTGATAAAAAAAAATGACTCATTATAGACTTAGACTACTTAAAAGGTTAATTTTGCAAAGGAATATTGTATGCAAAACTACAGGACTGGAGGCTGATACACAGATTGGGCAGGGTCTCTGAATTGTAGAAACTAAAATTCAGGTTACTATGCTCTTATTGGAAGTATTGGGTCATGAAGAAGTAAATAACAATCTTTTATTGTTAGATCTAGTGCTGTGGCAGAATAAGAGCAATGGCACATTGCGTGTCTAAGTTGCCTTGGTTGAAAATTATTTTTGTTGACTTCGATATCAATGTTGAAGTTCCTATGAAACTGTATCTATATAACCAAACAACAATCAAATTTCTCATAATCTGATTCAACATGATTGGAAATAACACATTGAGTTGGATTAGGGATTGTGAGGATGTAGTGTTGGGAGAAGGGTGCTTGGCTCCTTGAATTTTAAGGAGACTCATTCTGGTGATATACATTCTGTCCATACATTTAACAACTTTTGAGGTTTTTTTTTTTTTTTGCTGTTTTAAGATATCACTCCTTACAGTCCTTTTGTACAGCCTCTCACTGTATACAAGGAGACACCCAATTTTTGGGTGGTGAAATTTGTACCTTTTCTCAAAAAAAATCTGGACTTCATGGTATGCTTGGCAATCTGGACATGATTAACATCTTTACTCAGAACTTGAGGTGGGTCACTGAGGTTTACATGTTTAACTTGAAAAGGTTGTTATTGTAACTCATGTCAATTATTGGGTAGGTGGCACCGGCAGCTAATACTTTTAGGCCCTTACTCTCAAGAGTCCTCTTCAACAAGGAGGTGGGCTCAAGTCTTTTATCCTGAGGTGTTAGATGGCTTCAAATACTTGAACTTTTTTATCCTGTCAGAGAATTCTTAATTTGGCTAGTGAGAAGCATGTCAAGGATTTGAGGTTGTTCACATGCAAGGATTTGGCAATATAATCTCCTTTGTGGTATGTTAACAGATATACAATGTGAAAATTTTGCCTAGTGAACAGTTCTACATTTTCAATCATTTATCAAAAAAAAGAATGAATATTGCAACATTCAACAAATTGAGGATAATAACAAAGTGTTTATGGAGCTTATTCTACTGCAAATTTAAGAAAAAAAAAAAAAAAAAAACATTGTAGGATGGAGCTTTCATTTTATCTTTGCCTTTCAGATTTGCATTCATTTTGCTTTAATGCCATTCAAAAATTGTGTGCCCAACAATTTCTTACAATGCTTGGTGCCATGAATGTATCCCCAATCTCCTACCCCCAAGTGACTATGCAATTCAGTTGTCATTTGGGACCAATCTCAAAAATTTAGTGTTTATGCCAAAATACGAGGAACCTCTGTTATATCTGGTATTTGATTTTTCGTTCATGCTTTATATTGTTTCTATAGACATGGTGTTGGTGGAAATGTTGTAAAAATTATTGACATGGTGGAGACATTGTAAAATAATGCAAAATATAGAATAATATTTTATGAAATGATAGAAGAAGAATAGACACACCTTTTTAAAGCAATTTCTTGTTCCAAATCACTAAACAAAGTTAAGAAATTGAGGTTATAGACAAAAGAATATGTTCAGAAGTTTCCCTGTGAGCTTCATGATAGAAAGAGTTTAAGCAAAATTAAACTCAGAGTAAATGTAAATGGTTGTAATAGATCAATCAAATAATCTATTATGCAAAGAAAACTAAATTTAACTTCATGCTTGAAATAAATATGGAGCTAGCTCAAAGTGGTAGTCATGCAAGTTAGGTGGGACATTTTAAAACAACTTATGTTATAATACTATCTCTTGTACTCCACATATGCTGGTAGTGTTCATTGGGGAATATGTCAATTCCAGTGAAATTTCGTGTTGCTACCCATGGAAATAGAAATATGTCGTGGAAATATTAGGGAAGTTAGGAACATTTTAAACCATGATTTCTATTAACAGAAGGCATTGTCTGTTCTTCCAAAATTCCATGTAAACTCTACCAAGTTGTAAATTATAGTAACTAGTAAGGCCTGAGTGTATTGATATGTTTTCTGATGCTGTTTGGAGTTCTATATGCCAGACTAAAGAGACCACTTAAGTACTAGATATGAACATATATAGGTTGTTATTATTGGTCACTAGATCCAATTTTTTTTTGAGGCAGTGCATGAAATATTTATTATCTTGTCCTTCTGAGCTACTGATGCTTTCTCATGACATTTTCAGCTGTGATAAACAAAAGGTTTCTATGAGAAAAAGTCTTCTGTCGGAACTGGCACTGCGTTTCCCATTTGTTTTTTCTCTTTTGGGAGTAAACCATCCAGAATCCAGCAGTGAACTTCCATCTGATTTGCTTGAAAATCCTCTAAGTGGAAATATGCCAAATTTAAATTCACTAGATAGTAAAGATGAAGATATGGGTGTGTCCTCTGAAGAATTGGCAGAACTATCTAACAATTGTGATGGAATCTCTAACATGAGGTTTGTTTAACTTGTGTTTGCTGCTTTTCTTCAACTTAAAGAATATCTTCTTAGTGAAAATTGTACAGATTACACTTACATAGATATTACATTATAATTTGAGAGAGCCTAATGGTGATGACAACAGAACAGATGTTGAGATTTTAAAGGAAAGCACTGAGGTGGCTTCTGACATGCATGATCAAGTTGCTGAAGGTATATAATGTGAGGGAATGCCCTTTTAACATCATGTACTCTCAAGTCACTAAACAGTAATTTATATTAGTTAAGTTATATAACTATTATTCTCATTTGCTACAATGCATAGTCATAGGAACAACCTTTTTTGGTTCGTTTTTCTTTAAGACATGCATTTCATAAATTGTAGTTTGCATGCTTGATCTAGGAGGACTTGCCGATGGAAGAGAGTTACTCGTTAGTTTGAACGTTGGGCCAGGATTTTATATTGCACAAGAATGGGCAAAAGAAAGGGCTGTTGTGTCAGTTACTGCTCCCATGCTTGCAAACCTAAGTGTCTATACCCTTCCAGTTGGTGTTAAATCATCTGAAAAAGTGAAAGATGATCCCAAAGTTTCTTATACTACACAATTCTCAGAGAAAAGCTCTCTGGAAGATTTTAATGCAGATTCACTTGGCACTCCAACAATGCCTTCTTGGGATACATTGACTGATGCAGGTTTTGAAGCAGTGACTGATATCTATAATGCTGCATCAACACTAATAAAGGGAAAATTTTCTGACATTCCTAGGAAGCAAGGACTGCTTTCTGTTCGTGCAGCATCTATGCTGGTATTGTGCATTTCATGACACTATTATCTTCTCTGATAAAATTCTAGTAACAAAGATTGTATGCTTGTACAACCCATAATTTTTGTTTATTTTAATTGTAGATCTTTTCTGTTTTCTGTCTATGAAACCATATATACATCTGTGTGTGTATTCATTGTCATTTCTGGTTACCAAGTTTATTCTTAATAATTCATGAGATATGTCACCGGTATTTATGTTTCATATAAGATGGATGAGTGGAAAAACTAGAAAGTATAGGATTAGGAGTGAAGTTATCTGTAGGAACCTAGGAGTAGCTCCAATAGGTAATAAAATGAGAGAGAGTAGACTAAGATGGTTTGGGCATGTGCATGGAACCCATCCCCATCTTTCCGTATTGTAACCTAATTCACACTTGACAAAATTGTGTCACTATAAATTACCCATAAAACCTAACAAAACAAACCAAAAGCTTCAGCAAGGATCCAATGTTTGAAAGAAACCATTGCCCCTAACTTCATGAAGATTAGAAATGACACCACCTAGTGTTGCTGCCTACTTTATTTTTTTTCTAACAGGACCAACATCAAGAGAACCCATCCCCCCCTCCCCCCTGAAAGAAAAGTGAAAGTAGAAAGAAAAAGAATTAAAAGTCCAAAATGATGTATCCTATTCAAAAAAGCAGACAAAAATAATTGGTAACACTCAGTTCTGGTTTGTTTCTTTCTTTCCTTTAACAATTAAAATTTTGGACCACTTCCCTTTGTCTGGATCTTATAAGCTGTTCAATGCCAAACTTTATATTAGTTTATCTTTATCAGATGCAATCCAAAGAGATGTCCTTGTATGGAGACCTTGCTTCTTTCTCTTTTCTTTTTCCTCATCTTATGTTTGAAGCTTCATTCTTCTTCATGTCTCCATGTTCTCGTCTCCTAGAGCTGGTATTCAATCCTCTTTGATGGTGTTTTCTTACCAATTCAACTTTCAACACTGTTTTTCTTGAAGCAGTCCAAAAGGATAGCCATAATCAAGAATACAAAAGAAAACATTTTGAGTTGCCGAAATGTTGAGAAAGTAAATTGGTTTAGTCTCTAGTCAATTTAGTTCAAATTTTCAGGTCTTGCCTCATCTGCAGGAAACTATGTTCACTGGCTCTTCTGGAATCTGATGGTTGATATATTGGATTTTAACTATTTGAATAAAATTTATGTTACTTGTTTTTACTTCTATTTCCATTATTAAGTTCTGGGGGTTTTATTTGATCAAATGATTCCCAAACAGGAAGCTGAAAGAGATGTGCAAAAAAAGTGGAGTCCTATCACTGAGATACAATATAGAGGAGGAATCTATAGAGGACGTTGTCAGGGAGGTCTCCCTGAAGGGAAGGTATTGAGCTATAACTTGACAATCTATGACTTTATTAAAGAAAAAAGAAAAAGAAAGAAAAGATAGAAAAACTCCTATATATTATCTTGCTATTTTGCAGTAACAGAATACATAATGTTGTCAGTTTGTTAAGAGTCATAATTCTTTGATTCTATAGGGTCGTCTAACCCTTGCTGATGGAAGCATGTATGATGGCATGTGGCGTTATGGTAAACGATCAGGTCTAGGAACATTCTATTACAGTAATGGGGATGTTTTCCAAGGATCATGGAGGGATGACCTTATGCATGGGAAGGTAACCCTGTTTCATATGGACATCCACCTCATTTACTTCAATACAAAGAAGAAATTATTGATGAATATCATTATATACACGTGGTGCATGGACAATTTCAAATGTGAAGCATTGGCTTTGATAAAAATGTCAACCACATAAAAAACAGAAATATGTTGAATATGTTGAAAAATGTGTAGTTTATTGTTAAAAATTTGTAACATTGCAAATATTATTTTTTGAAAATGTGTTAATGTGGTGGATTACTGTTGAACATGCTTGTCCATATAGGCTACATGATCTCTTCAAATGACAAAAATAGGTGGAGTCATATTTTTGGGATATCATACAAAGTATTTTTGACAAGAAAGCATGAATCTCCCTATCAAGTATTTTTGACAACAAGAAACCGTATTTTTGGGATATCATACAAAGTAGCATGAATCGAGCACAAAACTCCTAATCAGAGAAAACAAAACGGAACTACTGATTTTTGTTAAACCTTTGCATGCAACAAGATAGCCTAGTTGCAATAACATCACCAAAGTGATAGGAAACGCATCCAATTGATAGTTAGAAAATGTGGACTCTTCTCTTTTTAACTAACTAGGTTTGGTATTATTGCTTGTAATTAGATAATGCAATGCATGGCAACAAGAGGAGCCTTGGATGTACAACATAAAAGTCTCTACTTGGTTAAAGAATTGGTCTCTAAAACTTTACCCCATTCTTTTGTTAAATATTAGGCTATCAAAACTTGCTCACCATGTCAATATCCACTTCTATTAGGAAAAATTATCTAATAATATGGACTTTTTGACACCAATCCATCCATCGCATGGGTCGCCTCTTGTAATAAAGAAGGAGAAGAGAGAAGAGAACAAGAAAATTAATAGAAATGGAGCATTGGTGAAGAAGTATCACAGTCAATCCATTCACTCATTGCTATAAATAATTAGTGTATTAAATGGCAAGAAATATTGAAATTACAAGTATATGTTATAACTACAAATAAGTCCCTAGAATTTTGTAACTTATTACTACACTACTCCTTATGAGGTGTATAGATGACAATCATGCTCATATTAGCAAAAAAAAAAGGAAAGAAAATAAACTTGCCTCTATATGCTAACATTTCCTCCAAATTTTCCTTTATTAAGAGATTATCAATTTGATCTTTTGTCTTCGGAAAAGGCAAACCCATTTATTATAAAACACCTTTTCTCTTATGAAGTATCTGTCTACCTTTTCTCTTGTATATTTGTGCATGTGTGCCACATGTAATATTCTCACTGGGCCACTTTCTGCATTGTTCCTGTGTATAAACTTGTAATTTTAGTTTTGTTAGCATTATGAGGTGAACTCTCATTTACATATCTGAGAGTTGGATTAGCCACCATTCTCCGTCCTTCAACATGATTGAATATTTGGTCCCTTTTGAAGAATCATTTACAGTGCAACAAAGCTCAAATGGATATATGTTTTTCTAGGGTTGGTATTATTTTCATACTGGGGATAGATGGTTTGCAAACTTCTGGAAGGGAAAAGCCAATGGTGAAGGACGCTTTTACTCAAAGTTTGGTGATGTCTTTTTTGGCCATTTCCAAGATGGCTGGCGCCATGGGAACTTCTTATGCATTGATGTTGATGGAACTAGGTAGGTATATACAGAGATGTTGTCTTACCTGTTTTTCCCCTTTTGGTTCCATGGTGTTACTTTTACAGGTTGTTATATGTAGTTTTTGTCAAAACATATTCAATAAAATAGTATGTGCAAGAATAATAGGAATTGATTATACAGAACAGAACCATAGTTGTCAAGGCGACACCTAGGCGATAAGGCGTTCTTGGAGGTCGCCTTGCCCAAATGCCTATATGTAAGACACCACATAGTATTTTTATAATTTTATTTTATGTTACTAATAGTAGTACAATAGATATTATTGGACTAAATTATTCATATTATGGGTGTATAGGATTAATATTATTATTCTTATACTAGTTTCTTTTTATTATTTTCTTATTTGTTTGGGTTCAATTGACACACAAGTAGTGACAGTCTTAAACCCTTTAGGACTGTGAAATTTCAATTGATAAGTAAGAAATAACTTGGAAGATCTTATCCAATTGACACACCAGAAGAATCAATAGGACTTCTTAGACCAAAACAAGTGCTCAACCCTTGTTTCAGGAGGATTATGTTGATTTTCTATGATTCTATCCGTTACTGACTTACTGTTTGTATGTTTTCTTTCTTTTCTTATGTTTCTTCTCATAATATGTTGATTTTCTATCTTTTGACATGGGCTATATACTTATTTCATGAGGATTATTGTAATTATTAGTTAAACATTACTGCTTGTACCATGAAACCAGAGGGAACTGGCCTAGGATTTATACTTTTTTATTTAAAAAAAAAAAAAAGAAAGAAAACTCGCTGCCTAGGCGAGTAGGTGACAGGAATGAACTGAAGCAGCTGGCTCAGCTAGTAAAATCAAATCGATATGGTTCCCACTTTCCATTGACCGGGGATCAAAAATCCCATTCACCCGCAAGAAAAAAAAATGTTCATCCATTATTAATTTGTATAATATCTTATGTTTATCCCTAATTTTTTGTAGAGCCTTTCTCCTATCTTTGATTCTTGATTAGATTACAATATCTAGTCTCATTGCATAGTGCACATTTTGTCATTTAATATTTTGTATCTTTACAGGTGGAGCGAAATATGGGAAGAAGGTGTTCTCGTAAGCCGTAAGCAGTTGGACTCTGAAAATGATGCTGAATAAATTGTATCGAGATCCATGAATGTGTAACGTTTTCGTATATGTATGTATATTTGTATAGATCTCAATCTCATAATTTTTATTTCAATTTTAGGGTAAATATTTATTTTGCACAAATGCTACTGTCGGATATATCTGAAATTCATTTAGTTCTTTCTCGAGGAATCCCATTTTGAATTTTTCAACGTTTTAAGACTCCCTGAATACCCCCATCGGTTCCTGGTTGTCTAATCATTTGGTCCGGACTGAGTCTTAAAAGACTGGAATTTTTCTTTTTTGTCTAAAATATCTTTATGAGATAAACCCGTCATTTCTTTTTTAGAGTTTTTCTTCTTAAATTCGACCTAGAGCTAGTTCGCAAAATGGGAAAAATATTATTTAAAAAAGTTAATGAAGTAAATTTTACGAGAGCAACGAATGTAGAGTAGCCCAAATTAACATTGTATACACACATTTACAGTTGTACATTGGGAATATCTCTTGTACTATTTATTCTCGTTCATGGGGAAATGATCCCAATATGTATCTCTGGAGTTACGAGGAATTGAGGAAGGAATTGAGGATATGGCTGTGACCAACATTTTGTAGTCATTATATCCATGCTCAATGTAGATACTTGTAGAACAAGAGCCGCTGAGGTGTATCAAGAAATATCAGATTTAGAGATCTGACCAGCCCCCACCGGGATTCAACCTCCACTTCGGGCGGGTTTCAGATAAAATCTGAAACTATTCAACCAGGGATGGGTTGGAGGTGGTACTTATCCACCCTGAACCCCAACCCTCAAGCCTCACCCCAACATATATATGGATGGAGGGTTCAAAATTTTACGTCTTTACTCGTTTTATCATTAAGATGTTAGGTTATATATTTAGTTACTAGTATGATGCTTGCAATGTACGGGATTTATTAAGTTAAAGATAAATAATAGAAATATGTAAGAGTATATAATTGTTTTATATAATAATTAAAAATTATTTATATTTTATATACTATTTTTAATAATTTTTTAATAATACAAAAATAATAATAATTAATTTTCAATAGGGTTTATCAAACTTAGGGATGGCAATTTTCTCCATTTCCCCAATCCCCAATCCCCGTCAGTTTCAAGTTTCAGTGGTGGTAGAGAATAAACAATGGTTAGGATTTGGAAAAAAGAAACATGAAGAACTGAAGAGGACGATAGAAAAATATATTTTCATTTGCTTTGACTTTTGAGTTTTGAATTTGAAATTTACTATTTAAGCGGGTGGATGGGAAAGAGCTTATACATATTAACCGGATTCAGATTTTTATCAGATTGTGGATTGTCCATCCAAACCAATAATCTGAATCCAGTATAATCTGATCGGATCAGAATTTGGTTCGGGTCATGGATTTTCCAACTTCGTTGATGGCCCTAGGCTTGTTGTTTTGGGAAGAGAAACCTTGTGCATCCATTCATGACTTATGTTCTTGCTTGTGATGCAATTTAAGAGTGATCTGTAAATTGCAAGAGACATGTTTTGGTTTTGTTGGGGATGGAAGTGTTTTCCGTTTTCGGGAAAGAGAAAAATGGAGACGGAAGACTAAGTCATGGTCAACTTAGGCTAAGGCCCGAGGCCAAACTTGATTTTTCTAGTCCAAGCTCAGCTTCAACTAAAATTTGACATATTTGGATTGGGCGGAAGTTGGGGTTGATCAATTAATGAACAAGCAATGGGCATGTCTGGGTAATCAAATCCATCATAGAGTTGGAGGAGAGGACAGTGTTTAGGTTTCCATAATAACAAAGGGGATGTTTGGAACCGTGGCCATTTTTCAAAAATACAGTGCCACGTCGGATCCACATAAGCGTTTCAACAAACACCCATGTATCTCATTGTTTGGTTCAGTCGATTATTAAAAAATCGGGCATGTCTCAAAAATTGGGACCCCACTGCATCGGTGAACTGTTTCCCCCAACGGTTGACTGATGTGTATCCTATGTGGTACTTACCTGTTAGTACATACATGAAAAACGGTGATGAAAATCAACTCACCAAACAACATAGTGTTGCTCACTGCCTATGTGGCAGAAGTGTTTTTTTGTGAAAAATGGGTCTTGGAAGCATGGGCATTTTTTCTTGAAAATTGGTCCCAAAAAGCCACCACACTTCCAAACACCATGAAAGTAACAAGGCCAACCAGATTTGATCCAAGAGCAGTGTTTGGCTTTGGCCGTTTTGTCAATGCTCATTCAATCCATGCATAGCCCTGTTTAGTTATGTGTATGCCCTAGGTTATTAGTCGGTAGTTTTGGAGGATGGGGTGGTTCGAGAATGGCCAATGGCTAGCCTGGTAGCTAGGTAGAGAAATAGAAGCTCTGGTTCTAGGGTCTGCCCCATAGTCTTCTAGTGATTTTGCAATTGCCCTGAAGGCATCCCACTTTTGCTAAATCAATTGTTGATCTCTATCATATTCCTATCCAACTGCTACCCTCCTCATTTTCTCTTTTCACTATGGATTAGTTTTTTAAACTTTTAAAAACATCATCCTTTTATTCAACGTGGCAAGCTTAATACGAATGTCTAGAATTCTGGATCTCACTCAAAAATTTCATTAATCCCGTTTTTAAACAATAATACAACAACGAGGATTTGGGGATTATGTGGATTAGAAAATTAGATAGTTGGCTAATTTTATTTCCACAATCTGCTTTTGTTCAACATAAATCTAGACTTGCTATGTTGAAATTCCCTACCTAAGAATAAGAATGACCTTGGGGATAGTTGAGAAACACCTGTTTCACCTTATTCAGGTCAAATATGCTATTGTGGTGAGGGCCAAAGAGAATTGTAGCTAGGTCTCTCTTTGTTTTTGTTTTTTAACAATAATGATATCCCTGCATTTACAAGCAAAATATGCTAGCTAGTGTAGCCAAGTCTCCTTGGAGCACAACTCAAACATATGGTGGGGGTAAAATTGGCTCATTCTAGATTTTGTATAAACAAAGGATTGGGTACTTGGTCTAGCAAATGACAATTTCCTTCTAATTCATATCGAGACATTGGTTTGGTCCTACACCTCGGTTCCAAACCCTTTCATAGCCCTTAACGCTACGTGGATGGGCTAGGTTCTTCCAAATGAGCTTGTACGTGTTGACAAGATGTTTGATGGGATTCACTAGTTTGATGTTGGGCTCCCATTTGGACAAGAGTTGACAATGGACCTTTATGTCGATATGCAAGGGTTGTTATGAATAGGATGGAGCTGAGCCTCTTAGTCTTATCACCAATTAAACTATAAAGGGTTGAATTTAACTGATAAGTCGTGGCCTAGTGACCCACTATGACATTGACCCATAGTTTTTAAAATCGAACCAGTCATGGGTCCGATTACCGGTTCGAACAATCCGACCGTTCGGGTCGAATGGTCGGCCCATTTTAACAAAAAAAATGAAAATAAAAAAAATGGAAAACAGTCAAAACAATTCGAACGGTTAACTAGCTGATTTAGCAGTTTGCTGACCAAAATCAACAATTTTGGGGAAAAAACAGTTTTGGGGGAAAATGGCCTGGTTTTTCCAATCCGACCGTCTGGTCTGGTCTGGTTTTGAAAGCCATGCATTAACCTGCCCAGTAGGTTTAATTGGGGCAAGTTGTTCTGAATCGATAGTCGATACGATACGTGATCCGTAAAACGAATCAAATCTGATTGGATAGAGGTACATCAAGATTTTAATTGAATTCCAATTGAATCTTATCGGTCGGATTTCCAATGATGTCTTTGGGATTTGCTCGCATCTCACACCAACCTCATAGCATATCTTACCATGTATTGGGAACATCTTCCTATGAATAATAATATATAAGTATGGGAGATGTTCCTAATTTGTGATTGATAGATGTTGTGAAGAATGCTCTTTGAGTAATAGATCTAGACTGGATTCAAATTGCAATGGATGTCTTTTCCATCAGATTCAGATTGAATTCTAGTAGGTTTCTCCTTAAAATAATTCCACCAAACATATTGTCATCTCCTACAAGTCTATTTGGAAGCAATGTTTTAAAACGCAAAGGCGTGATGTGAGGTGTTCCACTACCTAAAGGTGTGAGGCGTAGTTTAGAATGCAAGAAGCGTAAGCCTCTTTAAGAGGAGGGGGTTAAGATAAGGGGAGGAGGATGAAGAGGAAGGGGGGTCTCACTTTTTCTTTATTTTTATATTAAAAAGAATAAAGACGTATAACATTAGTGTTGAAAGAGGGAAAGAATAAAAATCCTTCCCCTTATCTTTTCTTTCCTTCCCTTTCCTTTTCTTTTCTTTCATTTTCTCTTTTTTTTCTTTCCCTTCATTTTCTTTTCCTTTCCTTTCCATTCTTTTTTTTTTCTTTTTTCCTTTTTTTTCTATCTTTTTATATAAGATGTGCATGAGGCACATGAGGTGTATGCCTCAAAAGTGTCAATGCCTCTACCATACGCCCCAGGGCATTTTGGGAGCACCTTGCTTGGAAGCGTGCCTCCAGGTGTATGCCTCCCACGCTTTTTAAAACACTGTTTGGAAGAACCTAATCCACATGGCGTTAAGGGCTATGAGAGGGTTCAGGACCGGATTAACGGCTCGATATGAATCAGAAGCAAATTATCGTTTGCTAGACCAAGTATCCAATCCTTTGCTTCTGCAATATCTAGAGTGAGACAATTTTACCTCCACCATGTGTTTGAGCTCATGCTCCAAAGAGACCTGGCTACACTGACTAGCATATTCCACTTGTAAATGTAGAAATATCATGTATGTCAAAAAGAAAAATAAAAAAAAAACAAAAAGAGACCTAGCGGCAATGCTCTTTGGCCCTCACCACAACAACATATTTGACTTGAATAAGGTCAAACATGCGTTTTTCATCTTTCCTAGGGGTTTTTCTTATTCTGGATTTCAACATAGCAAATCTAGATTTATTTTGAACAAAAGCAAATAATATAAATAAAATTATCTAGCTGTCTAATTTTGTAATCCACATAATCTCCAAATCCTCATTGATGTATTATTGTTTAAGCTTGTCACGTTGAATAGAGGACGATGTTTTTAAAAGTTTAAAGAACTAATCCATATTGAAAAGAGGAAATGAGGAATGTAGCAGTTCAATAGGAATATGATAGAGATCATCAATGCAAGATAAAAGACAACAACTGATTTAGCAAAAGTGGAATGCCTTCAGGACAATTGCAAAATCACTAGAAGACAATGGGGGAGACCTTAGAAGTAGAACTTCTCTTTCTCTACATAGCTAGCAAGCTAGCTATTAGCCATAGCCAAGCCAAACCGTCCTCCTGCATGATTGAGCTGGGCCATGCATGGCTTGAATGAGCATTGACAAAACTGGCCAGACCCAAACACTATTCTTGCATCAAATTGGGTTGGGCTTGTTACTTTGTTATTATGGAAACCTAAACACTACTCTCCTAAGTCCAACTTTTCAATGGATTTTGATTATCCAGAGCTGCTCATTGATAACCCCCTTTTACACTAATTAAACAACCCCAACTTCAACCCAATCCAAATATGTCAAATTTTAGTTTGGACTAAGCCTAGACTAGAAACATCAAGTTTGCCCTTAGGCCTTAGGCCTAGGGCCTTGAACCATAGTTTAAAGTCTACCATCTCCATTTTTCCCTCTCACAAAAACGGAAAACACTGCCATCCCCAACAAAGCCAAAACATGTCTCTTGCAATTTACAAATCACTCTCTTAAATTGCATTACAAGTAACGGAATTTGACCATGAATGGATGCACAAAGTAGRCTTTTCTTCTCAAAATAGGCCTAGGGCCGTCAATAGAATTGGAAAATCCATGACCCAAACCAAATTCTAATCCAATCAAATTATCCTGGATTCAGATGGAGGTTTTTTCTTAGCAAAATATTGGTTCGGATGGGCAAAAGGAGTTCATCTATTAACTGGATCAAACTTGGATATACACTAACTTGTTTGATAAAACTCTGAATCCGATTAATATGTATAAGTAGTTCTTTCCCATCACCCTCTTAAATAATAAATAGGGAAAATTCCTGATTGGTACCTTGTACTTTAGGTCGAGTACCAATTTAGTACCCAAACTTTAATATGCGACAATTTAGTACCCAAACTTTCTACCGTTAAGTGTCATGGGAAAAGGCACAAATGCCCTTTAAGTGTCATCTAATTTCTCTATCAACCTAGAGAAAAGTCAAAGGTAATAGAAAGCAGAGATCAGATGGTTCAGATCACGAACCTGGCGCAATGTAACCATACGATCCAGCAATGGAGGACATACACTCCGACGTTGTGACATGGGCCTTGAAGTCCAAATCAAGTAGGATATTGTTTGATTTCACGTCCTTATGAATTATAAGAGGAGAGTAGTCATGGTGAAGGTAGCACGATCCCTTCGTTGCCTCCACTACGATTTGATACCTCGTCTCCCACTGTAAGTGCAAACCCTTCGATCCATGCAATAGTTATCCTAGGCTGCCGTTTAGCAAGTATTCGTAAATCAATAGATTTGTATCGTTGTTAGACATGAAGCCCAGCAACCGAACAATGTTTCAGTGTCAAATTCTTCCAAGAGTTTGAATTTCAGCAGAGAAGCTGTGGTCTCTCCTGCCACTACTTCTCCCCACTAGGCGCTTAATGGTCACGTCCACACCATCCGGCATGGGCCCACGATAGACGATTTTGGTGCCACCTTTTCCGATGATGTTCTCTTCCTTCAAGCATTTGACCACGTCTTCTACCTTGAAATTGAGCTTCTAGAACAGGGCCAATTTCCAAGCTTTTGATTCGTGGCATTTTTTCTAGTAGCTTTTGAGCTTTAAAGCTACAGTGACAAGGCCTAGCAGAACAACCAAGATGATCACAATGACAATAATGACTTTTGAGGACGCAGTCCTTCAGTCCGAAAACCCGTCCAAGTTTTGGGATGGTAAATATTGTAAATGAAGCAATGGACTGCAAAGATTATGATTTCTCGTAAAAAGAGGTGTCGTTGAAGATCAGGAATTGCCCACCAGTTGGCATTGGACCTGCCAAATTGTTGTAGGATAAATCAAGTGTTGTCAGGCTGGTCATTGATCTTATCTCATTGGGAATTTGTCCTGTAAGTTGGTTCCTTGATAGGTTTAGTGTGTTAAGGATTTTGAGGTTCGCAATTTCTCTTGGGATTTCGCCAAAAAGATTATTACGACTGAAATCTACCAAAGATAGAGACTTGTAGTGCACCAGAGCGATAGGGATCTCACCTGTAATGTTGTTAATGCGGATATTGATCTTGGAAAGCATCTTTAGACCAAATATCACTAACGGAATTAGGGCTGGCAATCTTGACCCCAACCCATTTGACCCACCCAACCCACCCAATCTATTGATGGGTCAATATGGGTTGAGCAACCCATTAGGGTCAGTGGAAAAGGGTTTGGGTGGGTTGGGTCGAGGGTATCCATTAGGGTCAGGATGGGTTGGGTCGCACGGGTCAAGATGGGTTGGGTTAAAGTCAACACTCGCCAAATCTCAAAAAATGGAAGTGTAGTGATTCAAACCCAAACCTCCTGTATAAACATTTCATTACAATACCAAACCATTATGCCAAATTTCATTTTGTTAATGAAAGCAAAATAAAATTGATTTGATTACCTTTCGTCTTCACATGCAATTTTATACAAAAACACTTTTTACAAAAGCAATTTTACAAAGTAATTTTATGAAAAAAACTTTTATGAGAGCACATTTACACGAAGTACTTTTATAAAAGTACTTTTACAAAATACTTTTATAAAAGTACTTTTACAAAAACACTTTATGAAAGTGCTTTTACAAAAACACTTTTATGAAAGCATAAAAGCACTTATAAAAGTACTTTTATGAAAGCACTTTTACAAAAGTACTTTTATACGAAAGCACTTTTATTAAAGTACTTTTACAACCATACTTTTACACAAAAGCACTTTTACAAAAGTACTTTTATGAAAGCACAAAAGCATTTTTGTAAAAGTACTTTTATGAAAGCACTTTTATACGAAAGCACTTTTATGAAAACACTTTTATTAAAGCATAAAAGCACTTTTATAAAAGTACTTTTACACAAAAGCACTTTTATATAAGTGCTTTTATGAAAGCACTTTTGTAGAAGTACTTTCATAAAAGTACTTTTGCGGAAGCACTTTTATAAAATTTTTGCATTTTTTACAGAATTTCTGTTATTTTCTGCATTTTTTTTGTAATTTTTTGGTATTTTTCTAAATTTTCTAAAATTTCTGGTATTTTTCTGCATTTTCTACAATTTGTTTTGTGTTTTTTTTGCATAATTTTTGAATTTTTGGTGTTTTCATGCATTTCCTACAATTTTTTGGTATTGTTTTGCATATTTTGTGATTTTTTCTGCAAAAGTTTTGAATTTTCTATAATTTTTAGTATTTTTCCTATCTTTTGTATTTTCTACAAATTTTTGGTATTTTTTTTACATTTTCTGCAAATTTTCTTCAATTTTTTGCAATTATATACAATTTTTGCCTTTTCAAGTATATGGGTTGACCTGATTCATTTTTGTCATGTGACAGTCTTAAGAGAGATTATTCTCTCAAAATTTATTATTTTGTGATAGAGGCCGTCCCTACCCATTTTTGTATTTATAAATGAGGGTAGGTGGGTTAGTATGGGTGAGGGGTTAAATGTCAATATGATGGGTCAAGTGGGTTAATATGGGTGGGTTAGGGTTAGGGTGGGTTATGACCCTTTAATTAGGATTGATGATGGGTCATGGTGGGTTGGTGGGTTGATATTCAACCCTTACCCTTTAATTAGGATTGATGATGAGTCATGGTGGGTCAACATGGGTGGGTTGATATTCAACCCTTACCCAACCCAACCCAACCCACCCATTTGCCACCCTAGGTGGAATTTTGCCAGAAAATAGGTTTTATTCAAGGGAGAGAGTTTGCAAGTTTGTAAGGTTTCAGGCGACGAACGGAGATACGAACATTCAGACGACGTATAGAAGGATCAATCGCCGAAGTTCTCATTTCTTTGGCAACAAATGGAGGTTTCAAGCAACGTAATCAGCATCGGTATAGGAGCAAAAGAGAATGGGCAAAACTAGAGAAAAATGTGAAATTCGTAGTCATTTGGCACTTGAGCTTTCTGAGGAATAACAAGTAGACAAGGATGGGATGGGGGTCCCTTTTAAAGGGGTAGGGGTGAAGAGATTTGGGTTCACCTCCATCAAGAGATGGAAGTGAGCGGCCATAATCTGGTGGTGGATGGAGGCTTTACCTTCTCGGAACCCGATCTTCGAAAGAAGATGATGATCAGTGTGTTTTAATTCTAAAGGTAATTTTAACATTTTCAAAAATCTTAAATTACACATGAGGAGGTCACATTTTCAGGTACTAAATTGTCACTTGGCCTAAAGTGCATGCCACCTATCGGAAATTTTCCCTAATAAATATCAAATTCAAAACTCAAAATAAAAGTAAATGTAAAAACAATTTTTGTATCGTCCTCTTTAGTTCTTCGTATTTCTTTTTCTAAATCCTAACCATTGTTTGTTTGTTTGTTCTCTACTGCCATTGAAACCAAATGGTCTAAAACTGTGTTTTTCCTTTGGCGAGCAAAGAAAAGACATCCCTCAACTGCCAACGTTGCTACTGTTGGCCGACCATTGATTGTCGTCGCCTGAGCAACACTTTACACAATCACTCCTTAATCCCTAGAAAAGGTGAGATTAAGATTACGAAGATCACAATACTTTTCTTTAATTTGATTCATAGGGATTGACTTTGTAATTCATATTTTTCCTTTTCCTAGATCTTTCACTTTTATATAGCTTCCCCACATCGCAATTCCCTAACCGTTAGATTGAGATAAAATCCAATAATTCGATGACTTTGACGGTTTCGAATTCGGATCCAACATTTCCTTAATTGAGTCAAACTTGGACTTTGGTGAATCCGTACTGAGTCCAACCCGATTACAACCCTATTCTACCTCGGCCGTCTAGCAAGTGGCAACCCCTGTAACTGTAAGCGTCTCATCGGAATACAGTAGATGACTAGATGTCCCACCATTGACATTACAGTTGCTGCTGGAACCTTCAGGTATTTGATTTTCTTTTCTTAATGTCTTTCACTTGCCATGATCCTCTTCTTTTTTGCTATTAGAACAGTAGAGAACAAAGGAATATTGACTCTTCTCCTCTTTATTTCGATTTTCGATAAAGCAGGTGCCAGGTCCTATCCCTTCCTTCTTTCCTACAAGAATGTTCCAGCGTTAAGGATGTTATGTGCTGTATAGATTTAGAGTTGAATTTGTTGGAGCTCTAATTCGAGGGTTTCATCTTCGTTTTTGCTTTTCTACTCATTTACTGTTTCATAACCAATACATTCACAATAGATCCTAATTCGTGTTCTCTGCAAGGTTTAAGTTATATTTTTCCTCTTTTATGGCAAAAAAAAAAAGAAAAAAATCATTATGTGCCTTTTACATCAAGTTGATTTCTTTGATTTTTTTGTTTTAAATTTACATCATACAACTCGTTTATTATCTGATTTCTCTCTCTATTTTTTTTTTTTCTTGTTGGGACACTGAGCACGTTTCAATTGAAGGATACACTTCTTAGTTTTACTTTTACACTCACTCTGCATTGACTGACACCTTGTGTTTCATATTTCTGTATCATGTCAATGTTAGCCACCGATTTGCTCACTTAAATTTTAACTTTTGTACTTCATTGTTCAATAGCTCATTTACGTAATAGGTTGATAACGAATGCCAAACGAATATATCACATGTTTTCCAAAACTTTTTAATGCTGTGTAATGTATGCCCCTGGTTGGGAAACTAGTAGTGGATTGGGTTTGAGTTAATTTTGATCAAATCAGTAGATGAGATTTAGGGGAGAACTTCTAGAATGTTCTTGAAATTCAATTGTTGTAATTTGGATCGGTTTTTGTTTTTTGTTTAGAGCTGCTATGTTTTGTTTAGTGAGGTTCCATCATGTCACCTCTCGGATTGTATCTCTTTATTTTGAATAATGAATTTTCACTTTACCCTTCAAGAAAAAAAATGCATGCCCCTACAATTGGACATTGAATAGCAGGGTTTCCCATTATATCAATAAAATCTCTTTTGATCATGGTATTGATGAAAAACATTTTCCAAGATTTTTGTGAAGGTAGAGGGATGCAAATCCTTTTAACTATATCCCAAATAGGCACTATTATTCTTCATTTTGAGTCAAAGCAATTACTAATTCTAGGTATTGTAGAGATGTAGAATAATAACGTGGTCCCCACCCCACTGCTGCATGCCTATTTATATTGCTGTTTGTATGTTAGCTGGATTAGTTGGTAGTTAATTTTCTGTTATTTATAGCTTATGTAAGCAGTAGGGGTAATACTGGTTTTTTATATTAATGATTGTCGCCCCACTCAACTATTTATATTAATGATTTAAAACAAGGTAAAAAACCAGTATTACCCCTACTGCTTACATAAGCTGTAAATAACAGAAAATAACTACCAACTAATCCAGCTAACATACTAACAGCAATATAAATAGACATGCAGCAGTGGGGACCATATTATTATTCTACATCTCTACAGGTATCAAATGGTAAACAGGTATTGTTTCCATAGTGCTAAGCTTAAGGGTTGCCATCTAATTTTACCCTTGACTAAGAACCTCAGTTGTAGCACACTGTCTGATATCAAAATATACTGAGCAGATGCAAGGAAATTGCTACTCAAGCAAACATCCAAATACAATACTATCGTGTTTGGAGAAGCTATTTAATTAGCTGATTGCATAGCTTGTTTGATCAGTTATTTAGGGCGTAGTGTTATGGGCCCGAGAATAGGATCTCGTCACGGGTCGGTCCACGGGGAGAACCTCTAGTTTCCCCTTGCCCCTTCCTTTGCGTGCATACCCTATCGTGGCGACCTAAGGGGTGATTTGTCCAAGAGATCACCCTAACTCTCCTTTACTCTTCTTTTTGACTGAAATTCTGGATATGTTTATTGAATAATATCAGCTCCTTAAATARGAGATTACAAGAGGTAGAATCCTACTCTTAGGGAGACTCCTTGCTGAATAGGGAGACCTCCAACTCTATCTTGATAAGATAAGACTGATAAGATAAGATAAGTCTCTCTTAATCCTAATCTAATAAGATAAGATAATCTCTTTTAATCCTAATCTAATAAGATAAGATAATATAATCTACTAACTTAATAAGATAAGAATAACAAGATAGTCTAATCTAATCTGCTGAATGGATAAGACTGTTGCTGCCGAATTGGATAGGATGAGAACACCRGATCATTGCTGCTGCTGCTCCCAATACACGTCCACATCATTACTCCCCTCTTGGACTACGAGCTTGTCCTCAAGCTCGAATTCAGTATGGGTGTCGGGAAACACCGTCAAAGGAATCCCGGATAGGTGGAATGACTTTGCCCTCCTGGATCGGGTTCCAATGAAGAGGGTTCGTCCTCATCTTCCTCTTGTTTCACCAGGAGGCAAAAAAGTCTCTTGCACTTGTGCCCTGCTGAGTAGAGTTCATCGCAATTAAAACATTGTCCCCTCACCCTGCGTTCAGCCATCTCAGCCCTGGACAAGTGCTTAATAGGGGGTGCAACAACACTGCTCCCCACACTGGATGCTGATCTGGAATTGTTGCTCGTCTGTGGCTTCCGTTCTTGGCTGGCTGTTGAATATGGAGTCATTCCGAGTGGTTCCGGGGATGCCCATGCTGATGGAGGCCGCCCCATACTGAAGGTTCCGCGGCTGAGTTGTAGTTTGCGTTCGAAGGCGCGAACTATATTCATGGCTGTAACTAGGTTGGGGGGATTCTGCATTTCCACGTCCACCCGCAGGGGTTCTACTAATCTAGCGGTGAACATGTCTACCTGCTAGTCCGGTCTCACTGAAGATGCCCTCGCGAGGAGGGTCTGGAACTGGTGCTGGTATTCTGCCACCGTGCTGGTTTGTTTAAGGTTAATTAACTCGCTTAAGGGGTTGCTGGTCAGTGGGGGTCCGAACCTAAGAAGGCAGTAGGACTTAAACTGGGGCCAACTGAGCCCGGGTTCCTCCTGTTCTAACCGATAGAACCAAAGTTGTGCTTCCTCTGTTAAGTGAAAGGCAGCTAGACTTACCTTATCCCGGTCGTCTGTCCGTTGATTTCGAAAAAACTGCTCGCACTGGTACAACCAGCCCAAGGGGTCTCCGTTGCCGTTGTACGACGGGAATTCTAACCTGCTGTACTTGGGGATGAGTGCGGCTCCTTGGCTAATGAACTACTGTTCGCCGGAAGACTCCGGCAGATATGGTCGGCGGTCGCTAGTAGCTGTCCCCCCTTCAGTGTTCCTTTCCTTTCTAGAAATGAATAACTCCATCAGACGCCACAACTTCCTCACTTTGTCTTTGATCTCACGTGCTTCTGAACGGGTTTCCACAAGTTGGTGCTCGAGGTCGTGAACCTTGTATGGCAGCTGCTCCAGATCTCCCATGACGCCTTGCTCTGATACCAAAATGTTATGGGCCCGAGAATAGGATCTCGTCACGGGTCGGTCCACGGGGAGAACCTCTAGTTTCCCCTTGCCCC